TTCATACGTGTTACGATCATCTCGCTAATTGATTCGAATGAAACTTCCAGGAATTTTAATTGGGCCTTTTTTTCTCTCCCGCTCCTTATCATTCGGAGTGCTTCCTTGTTATTTTATTTTCACCTGAAGATGTTGTAGTGTTTGTGTCTATGGCTGTATCTGTGTCTGTATTTGTTTTCGTTTTCAACGCTTGCCGCGACCAAGTTCAGATTCCAACGAAACAGAACCATTGCAAAAATTACAAATGCGCACACACATTCCTTATGTAAACCACGTAAATGTGTATGAATCTGAAGAATTAAAGCGACTAATTTAGTTGTGTAACGAGTGTACGGGTCAGCGTCTATCACAGTTAGTTTCCGCTTCATTTGAATTTGGCCTTTTCGAAGCGACATAAAATGAATCGCATTTCGAACGGAACAGATGGTAAGCGCTTTTATCGGCCGGATTCTGCCGAAATACTCGAGTAAAGATAGTATCTAGCGTGGTGTTTATCTTAGCAATGCATTGAATAAATATATCCAGTTCATTTCGGTGATTTCTCTTTCGTCGTTCCATTGCCTCATTAACGGTTAACGCATGTTCGAACTCTCTGCGAACAACTTCACTTGGCTGCAGAAAAATCGACAAAACCAAATTACCATATGCACAACTATGCACAATGCACTCACTCAGATAGAGATTGAGTGCATTGGAAGCGTGAGCGCGCGCGCTCTCTCGATGGCAGAAAAACAATTTTACCATTTTGATGTGATTACGATGAAGTCACATCGTTTTTGTTTTTGCGTAGCTCTAGCAGATTTCATGCTCGAAAAGAGTGTGAGTTTATTGGTACATCGATTATTATATAGAAATATTTCTGCGTAGTGGCTTTGACTTTCCCCTCTCTATCTCTCTTTTTTCTTCTCACTCTTTCTCCCTCTCTTTCGTTCTGTTTCTTTTCGTTTTTTGCAAGTCAGGAATTTAAACGCAAACCATGGTTCATACGGAGCGCAATGATTCGATCATAATGAGAAACTACAATATGTTTTAATACACAAACACGTCGGTTGTCATGGAGAACCAGTTCTGCTTTTCATTTATCTCTAGTATATGCATACTATAGTGCATAGCAATGCTATCGCAATATTTTATTCCATCTTTCATTTGATTTGGTGTGACCAATAATTCGTATTTTCCACCTTTTTTCTATTCAGAAATGAACGACTGCATTCAAGTGAAATTAGATGTAATTAGATGTGAAAATAAGCGATGAATTTTCTTTTTCAAACGATTGATCTGTTGCGCAAAATGAGACAAAAAAAAATGAAATTCTTTCCAAATTAGTTCTAGAAATGGATCTACTTTGGAAGTAGTTTATTTTTCTGATTCCACATTTGGATTCATGTCCATCGTGCTATCGGTAGAGACATAACAAAATAAATCCGAATGCTTCCGTTTATGGTTTGGGAGTTTTAAGCAAAAACAACTTTTTGGCATGCTTGCACAAAACAAAACAAAACCAGACAAACCAACAAACTAAATAAGTAGCCGCTGTGAAAGAACAAAACAAACTTTTTTACTTTGTTCTCCACCAGCATTGTGCACTGATAACATTAACTTGTTTTAATTTTTCACAAATGGTATGTTCTATTTTACACCAGATATTTGTAGTACATTCTCGTTCAGACGATTTTCTCAGTTTCGTTTGATTCAACGGTTGATATATTGACTAAACGATTTGTTGTTTGCATTTTCAACCTTCCGACAACTAAATATTCAAAACTATTCTACTTTAAACTTTAGGTTTCCTGACTTCCCTTTAATAACATAATCTTTCATTAGGACGAACTTTTGCGCACGCATCATACAGAATTTGTCTACTCCCACCATACACCAAAAGAAATCGAGAATTAGGGACATCATTTCAAACAATCTTGGCGACACTAAACACGTCTAAATGATACTAGAGTTCGATTCTTCATGGAAAAGTTCATTATAGTGAGTTCGTTTGTCAACCATGGACATTTCGTATGAAGAGTGTCGTTACAGATACAATATTTGTGGATTAAAATACTTTTTCGCCCACAATGGGGTGTGCGGAAAAGTAGAATAGTTTTGAATATTTAGTTGTCGGAAGGTTGAAAATGCAAACAACAAATCGTTTAGTCAATATATCAACCGTTGAATCAAACGAAACTGAGAAAATCGTCTGAACGAGAATGTACTACAAATATCTGGTGTAAAATAGAACATACCATTTGTGAAAAATTAAAACAAGTTAATGTTATCAGTGCACAATGCTGGTGGAGAACAAAGTAAAAAAGTTTGTTTTGTTCTTTCACAGCGGCTACTTATTTTTTTCTTTTTAAATTTAATTCACAATTATTTCGCATCAAACATATTGTTTCAGGTATTTTATATGCTTCCCTTTATCGCTAAGGCTGTCATATACAAAACAGCAGTATGTTCGTTTCGAAAAGATGGAAATAGTTGAAACTCCAACGCAAGCATTCATAACACCAGCTAAATACACATTCATAATTTATAAGATTTCTCCGTTAGCAATTGCCAACCATGCAAATGTCCAAACCGTATTGAATGCATGCTAAAGTGAAACATACCGTAATACAAACGTGTTTTCGTATAGAAGTTTGCTAATTTAATGTTAAACATCGATAGTCCTATCGGATGGCAAGTGAAAAATTCATTTGAGAAAATAAAAAATGCTCAAGTGTACAATGCAAATGTCCAAACTATTTAGATCAGTGGAATGCATACTTGTTGTCGTCATTAGGCATTCAGCAGTTGGGCAAAATACAAATCGATACTTGATTATTTCATCTGACTGGATTTTGTGTATATTTTTCATGTAATTGCTACAAAATGTATAGTACTAAATAAATCCTCCATTCAAGTCGAATATAAGAGTTCGCTCTAGCCAGTTGAGATGAATGATAGTTTTTTTTTGTTGCTTTTCTATTGGTCTGGCAACGAATCCTATCTTTTTCGCATTTCCGACTCAGATACGTCAGTCAAGCAGTGATTTTCTTTTAGCTCGAAAATCGAATAAAAAAAATAGAATAAATAGGAATGATGAATGATTCCGTCTCGTTTCTTTACACGATTTGAAACCTCAGCAAAGATACTCCTTAAAATTGACATGAAATGAAACTTCATATAATTGGACATGCATAATCGCGAACATGAAGTCGAAAAATTAAGTTTGATAGCAATTCTTACATTGGCCTCAAAACAAAGCGTGTACAATTCGGATGAATCACTAAATACTGCTTGTTCATCGGTAACCAGAAAGTTTACACTGAACATAAATAAATAAAAAAAAGAAAAATATCATCACAGACGAATGTGTTTGGTTTGCGTTTGCATTTGCTTGTGCATGTCTCTTACTTCTTTATGCCATCGTGCACTTTTCCACGCAAAAATGTAATAATCAATATCGGCGATGCAAAAACAATTTTCATTTCATCAGCACACATAATTTCCGTTCGATTTAGATCACGAAATCACAGCAACAAGCACTCATGCTTAACTGTAAACCCATTCCCTTTTTTCGTTTCGGCTCATATTTTTAGCTTAATGTAATTTGTGCACGAGAATGATTCGACAAACGCTGAAAGTCATTCGGGTTTCATTCATATTCAATGGCCGTCGACATTTTATCTCCTCGAAAATGCTTTAAATATCGTGACATCATTGTCGGTGGAATGAACGGTAAGTCGACATTTTGATTTCTTTTTTTCTTTTTGCGTTTGTAACGACAGTACGACATTATCGACATATTGCTGTTGTTGCTTTTCGCATCAAGCGGATTTATACACGCACAATGATTCGCATTGTCCAAAGTTTGTCAATGTATTTTGAGTGAGCGGCCCTTATCAGCAATTTTCGAGTCTCTTGCGACTATTTTCCCGAGTCAAACAATTTCAAGTAACGGATATAAAACGATTCTAAACAGTGGGAAAAAGGGACGCGACAGAGCGACACAAACACGCACAATATGCAATCCATGTAGCCAAAGCGAATTATTCCGTTTCCCAATGTCGTGTCGTAAATTATCATTTTCGGGGTCATACAAAACAGATTGAATTCTTCATTTTCCCGTATTCGCTTCACAATCAAAAGAGCGACGAAATGAAGACTTTGAAATGATCACGATGCATGTTGCTTTCTCATGATGGCTTTGTGGCCTTTTTTACATGGTTTGGTACGGTCCATGTACATGTGCTTGTAATTGTGCCTGTTGTTTCATTGTGTTTGTGCGCACACAACTTCCTTTAAACATCACCAGCCACAATGAAATTTCTTTTCTTTCGATTCTTTTCATTTAAATATATATATATATATAGAAAATAAAAATACCATCATTTATACTTATTCAGATTTAATTCTCATTCTCTGAATAAATTGTTTTTAATTTTTCTTGTTTTCCATGTATTTTGTGCTTTTCCGTGGCATCGCATGGACTGGTTAATAAGAAAAATTAAACGAGTATTGGAACACAAATAAATTGGGTTTTAGTGGGAGGAGATGGCTTTATATCGACGCTAACTGATTTACATAGATATTTCTCGAGTGACCATCATGGTTTGACCGAATAACGTGAAAAATTGTGTTAAGATTATAATGAGCTGGTCAGAGTAGAAGGAAATTCAAGAAAATAAACAGGATGAAAACATATGTGAATTTGGATATTGCTTTGCAGCCAGATCGATGGCCTGCTGTACTGTTACGTATACATATAGAACCCAACACATGATTTATGTCCGATATGCTCTTTTGATTTGTAAAACAAATTTAAATAATTTGTATCACAATGTGTTCAACGTTTATGTTTTGGACTCTTTTGTGATCCATTCGTCGGGACGAAAAAAAAAAAGGTGCATGGACTGGAAATCAACAACAACACCATCAACGAAATCCGGGAATCGAAAAGCATCACAATGCATCTTCTTATTCATATTTTGTTGATGGCAAAAACGTTGGTATTTACGATTTACCTTTTGAGGGCATTTACATGCTCGTGTATGAGTAATCTGTTCGTTTTTATCTGGTTGCTGGTGAAGTGAGCAGTCGAAGGCGCGACGATATATTGGTGGCTATGATAATGTTGTCGATTCTTTTATGATGATTATGTCGATGATTTAGGCATTCCATTATGGACACACAGCGGCCAGAAATATTAATCGAACATTGTTTTTTTCTTCTCTTTATTCTATTACACACACGCACCCACAAAACGAAATCTTTCTGTGTAGTAATGTTTGACCAAATGCTAACCAAATGAGCTACTTCAGTGTAATGTTTATTGATATTTCGATCGAGTAGAGAGTGATTAACAATTGTCTTCTCGGCCGTAATATTGTGATCAAACCCCATATACATGTACCTCGATATTTATACACACTACACACTTGAACCGTGCATCGATGCACGCACATGCGTTCTTTTTATTGTGATTGAAGTAATTCAGGATCAAATAGCCCAGTTGTTGCGCATCACATTATTCATTTCACATTAATTCGTTTCTAGCCGTTACGCTTATTCAACCCATTCCCTTTTATTTCGATTAACTACATCAAAAGCACAATGTAACGAAATTCCACATCAAAATATTTATTGTTGCACTTTTCTGGTTTCCTGCTTTTCTATTTATTTATTTTTATTTCATTTTCAACTCTTTTTATTTTTCGTCTGTTCCTTTCGTTTCATTCGTCACACTTCAATCATTCGAAGAAGTTCCACTGTGTGTGATGCGAATCGAAGAACGTCGACTATACTATTTTGAATAATTTTTTTTTTTCGCACACAGACAGAGTGAAAGAGAGATAGAGAGAGAGAAAAAACAATGTAGAAAAATGTACGGTTAAAACATAAAATTCATAAAACAAAGAAAAGAAACACAGCGAGTCGAATAATTAAACGTGCATTGTGCAATTTTACAACGGAGAAACATCACTTCGTTCACATTCCATTTGCTGGGGCTGCTTGTATATGTGTTTCGTTCCCAGCCGGTTTTATCCGCTCACCTTTTAATCTTAACGAAAAACGACTGAAATTACGAAGAGAAACTGCACTGTAAACCCATGAGATGTTTGCATTCGGTTTTATTGCTCGAATTTGATTTTGTTAAGAATATTTTTGTTTTCTTGAAATAACCATTTGAATTCACAGCTATTGGTCACATTTCAATACGAATTATCGTTAACGTTCGAAATATTTTAACTAATTTGTTTTTCGTCGTTAACTATATATTTGTCACTTGTTACGATGGTCAGCCGATAAATTCAATCAAAACAATCAACGGTTTAATTTGTGTTCTTTTTTTTATTCAATCGGCAAATTTCAATTCAATCCGTTCGCGATTCAATTCCAAAATGCAATTCGTTAAATACAGTTTGATGCGATGCAAGAGACTGTTAATCTTTCGCGAGTGCGAAATGAATGCTCTGATGCGAGTGAGTGGTGCAACAACAGACCGCCGAATAAGACCAACGGACGTTAACTGAATGGAATTAATGCTTTTTGTTTGGCCGCAGCCACATCAATTTTTATGTGTTTCGCTTTTTCAATAAGCGATTATATTTGTGTCGTTTATTTCGTCTTTTTTTTCAACTCTGCTTTGTTTCTGTACACATGTATAGTGTAAAGTGTGTAAACTGGAGTGTGTAGTGACTCTACAGTTTCAATCGTCGGCGACATATAGGACGAGAAATTATAGTCTATACATACATAAATTTGAGATGAAAAGCACATAGACATATGAAGGCGAAGAGCGAATGAACGACATAAACATAAATAAATATGAATGTGCTCGTGCGTGTTGGCTGAGCCTGTGTGTGAAGCAGCAGCAGCATCGCATCGCGCTCCTATTGGCCTTGTTTATGTGTTGTTGTCGATGGAGAATTGAATCGAAGCTCGAGAAGCGTTGAGTAAAAACAAGTTAAGAGAGACGAGAGATCTCCACTATCAATACTGCATGCCGAACGCTTGGTACATTCTCCCGCTGTTAGTTCAGCTGTAACCATGCATTGCTCGATATGTGTGTGCGCTAAGAGATTTTTTTTTGGTGGAAATAAGCTTGCATTCGATGTTCTGTGTATAACATCGGCGTAACGAGAGTGACCGAGACGATATGGATGGTCGAAGGCGGATTTGCCAATGAAATGCATCCGATCCTGGCGAGAATAAATAAGAACCATGAATCCTTACAAGTGTGTAACAGTGTGCTCTTTAAATCGGTTCAACTTTGAATTCGATGACTGCACCGTGCATAAACTGTTCTGGAATATACATTGTACACATGTAAGCTTGCATACAGTATGCGAGAGTGGTACCTCTGAATTTGGCAATCGCACGTTCTTGGTTCTACGATACTTTCTCGTCTCTCTACTAAGCCGCGTAGTTGTTGCCAATCAACAACGACGTGATCCTGTTCTCTTGCACGGAAACTTTTTGAATAAACGGCAATATTTTATGTGGCATATTTACGAATGTAAGCTGGTAAGCATAAAAACAAGAAATCCGTAGAAAATTGCTCAATGAATGATGGAGGTTGTTCGTGCAGTCGATAAGATCTTTCTTTATAGCCGAAAGTGGGACAATCGCAAATCGCGCGAAAAAAAACAACAACAACGAAAACAGATTCAATTGAACTATTTAGCCGGCAAATGCATCACATTCGAATGAATCGTGCATTATGGTTTACGATTTCATTGAAAGAGTCGGAGAGTCAAGATGAGCCAAATGTATAAAAGTGTGACGATAAATCGTACTTGCCACAATGAATCAAAAGAACAGCAATATTTTCCATCTAAACATCGGAAATAAAGTGTTGTGATTGAAGGAGAGAAACTGGTTTTCAACGCATGTGTACCAGCTTGTGCTTACACCAACACCGAAGCGGCTCTTTTCCACAGCCAACTGTATCTTTGCAAAAATTAGCAAAGTGGTACATGATGCACGGCATACACTCCGTTTCTCCTGTAATCAGCACAGCACAGCAACAGCACATTACAGTAGCAGCCAGCATATAAACAATGGATAACGATCCAAGTTCACTGGTTGACCATTTCAAAGTCGGTTTATTGTCGGCTGTACGAAAGCAATTTTATATCAGTGAGCTCTATCGTATCAATTCATCATTTGAGGATTTGCCTACGAAAACACTTATATTTGTTTCAAATAATGCAAATGGTATGGGCTTTGGAAAGTTCGTTGCAACACACCATTTGGCTGTAATTATATTTAATAGGAATTATTAATGAGTTTTTAGTGGAATCCACAACAATGGGCAATTTGTGAACTAATAAATAAATTGTACCGGGCATTTATTGAATTACGAAGCTCTTTGTCGAGAATCTTGAGATACATTCACTTTGGAAGCGTTTCGCATTATGCCTGCTCATATTTTCGTTCGTTCGAATCAACTTGAATTTATTGATGTTGTGTGCCATGAATTTTCTGCGAATCGAAGGGAGTATTTAATTTAGAAATTGCGCGCGACAGAAAATGGAGGGGACGCAGATTTGTTGCTTATCTGATTTAAATCTGCCTGTTCGTATTAGTAGGAGAAATACCATAATTTATCGATCAATTGTGAAAAAAAAACAAGAATGAAAGCAAGAGAGAGAGAGAGAGAGAGAGATTAAACGAGAGAAATTGAAACGAAACTTTGTTCGAAATATCGAACAGCTTGCTTGCTGAATGGAACGCAGCATTGTTTACGAACATAATGAACGTCATTTGAATAAGAGCGGGGTTTTCATTAAACATAATACTGAAAATGAATTTCAAATGGAATGAGCTACGTCGGTTAATATTTTCGTTTTCCTTGAAATGACATTCACAATAAAGCAAATCACTTGGAAATGCAAAGCATCTAAAATCGAAAGACTGCAACGAAATAGTGGCATAAACAGACACGCATGCAATCGTAAAATGTGTCGAAATGTTACAGTAACAAATATCAGGTACGCGCGACGAATATAATCAAATGAGGTGGTTTGTTTTCATTTTCTCTGGTATGTGGCTGCATGATGACGTTATTATTCGTAATTACATGCCGCAATTCATCGTCGCTGCTTGGCAGTCGGTGTTTGTGTGGAATGTGGCGAAAATGTTTGTTCGCTGGAGAACGATAAACGATAAAGCGAATCCGTGTTCGCGTGCACAGCACATATGCTTTCGAAGTGATTGTTGATGTGCAACAGCGTCACAATACTTCCTGTTTAAATAGATATGGATGTGATGTGATATCATCAAAAAGACAACCAACCGTATATACTACATATACAAAATACAATGGACGATGTGAGTAATCAGCAATTTGAGTTTTTACGACAAAACTTGAAGGAAATTTTAAAATGAAGGAAATTTTAAATTGCACACCGAATTGTTTCAAGTTAATTTGCGTTTTGCTTTTGCTTTCGCTTGAGTTTAACATTATTTGCGAATTGATGAGTAAAAAAAAACCACAACAAACAAATATGTATCAACAGTATGCAGATGTTCATCGGTTTAAGGCCAAATATGTGTCAATGTTAATTTATCTGAGGAATGCGAAACGTTTGGGGACTTGCTATGATTTGACAAAGAACACCAACCAATGAACGAACCAAAACAAAATCGAATCAAAACTTTGTCCCCGTATACGGGGGTATACGGTGCGTTCTGGGTATATATATGTGTGTGTGTTTTATGTGACCATGCATCAGCTGAGGCGAAATGAGTATGCGTGAATGAACAAATGAATGGGACGAAGAAGAACAAAAAGCGACAACAACCAAAAATAATATTCCACGTGGACCGATAAACCAAAATCGAGAACATGTTATTCCGTAGAAGAAGCGAAAAAGAATTTTGCGGTTGCAAAAAGCATATGATGCGATTCATAGGTTGTGTTTTCCCCCTTTACAGTCTTTATCGTTTGCCGACTGCGAAACGAAGCAAACAAAAGGGAACCATAAAGTCGCCACAGATATCAGATTTTGATGTGCAGTTTAAATCTCCGCAAACCGAAAAGATATTATATCACTTGGTTTTATCGATGTCGCTTTCGGTCGGTGACTTTTATTTTTCGTCGGCCATTCCCAAATAAATTAATCTGTTACGGAGCTGGACTGTGTATCATGGCACTGCATTGCATACATTATGTATGTACACATGGTGGGTAGAACAACCTAATTGACTTTAAGCAAACAATGGTTGCTCGCTTTGGCGAAAAATTACCAAAATTGCTTTTGAATGACGGATCGCAATTTAATTACGCATCATCCAATCCCTCTCCGTCTCTGTCTCACACTCTGCCTCCTCATCCATATGCTACAGCACTGACGGCGTATCTGTATTATGTTTCTCTACGTCGGATAGGATACTGTGGCCAACCGTTGAAGTCGATACGATGCACATAGCTGCGCGATGCAAAACTTCAAAGCCGAAAGCCAATCAATAACCATACAATCGTACAAATACCGTGCAGAATTTTTCAATATTTCCCAGACTAAAATTGATTTCCTGCAAAACAATGAAGAAATCAATGAGAGCAGCATAAAAGGTTTCAATTGAAAAATAGTATTTTTGACAGTTCACTTCCAACGATTTTCAGTTGTCGGCATCAACCTTTCGATATATAAACGATAAGCAGAGTATAAGCAGTCAAATACACATTTAACATTCTCGACTTTTCGTTGGCTTAAAGCGAAATTGCATTCCAATTTTTTTTTTTAAATGCTAAATACATGCAGCTGAGTTGATGAATGCGATAGCGATGAATAAATTAATCAAGCATTGCGTGAATTTAATTGAAAATGCATCAATAAAAGTTTTGGCAATATGAATAGGTACACACTGTGCAATTTACATCGCTCATGACCAGATTCGTATGCCTTGTTCTACCGTGGTATAGCGACCAAAATACATTCACATGAAGCCGCATAAAAAAGCGAACAATTTGTATTGTCACGGATGATTTTTGATCCCTTCAATGTACACATGAACGAATCTATTGAACGATATCAGATCAGCCAAAAAAAAAAATCTCATTGCTCTGTATACCGATAGCGAGCTAACGGCCATCGCTTTTCATGCGATGCTATGCAGTGCTTTTGTTAGTGCAATCCCAATTCGTCACATTTCGAGATAATATCAAAAGAGGAGTATTTTTTTCAAATTCTTCTTTTTTTTCGCACAAGGTGTTCTCTGGAAAAATTAATGCTAAAATAATGAAGAATTCTTCTTTTACAGCAAAAAAAATACACATCTCCATCTTAACAAAAAAAAAACTACTAATAAATTTTTAATACAAAGTTAGTAAATTTCCCTTTGTAACCGAACATTTTTCTGTGGCAAATGTTAAAAAAATATACGAGTGTGTGTGTTTTTAAAGGGCCATATTAAAATATAATCATAATGGATACATAAAGTTCAAGTATTTAATGTATTGTTGTCGATGCTCTTGAAACGAAAGGTGCACACGAGATCATTTGAAGTGAATGCTTAAAATTCGATTCAATTTGGTATTCCTTTATGGGCTATTGTTGTCATTG